CCTGATTTGAGCAGCAACATATGTGTTAGCTTAAAGCTTTCTAAAGCGAATTATCGCTTACAACTAGCATGAAGGATTTGTCTAAACAGACATGACGCAGTTTGTCAAATACAGTAGCAATAAATTAAATAGAACACATGTGGACTGAGAAGACGAAACAGAGGGAATGCTACGCCGAACGCCGCCAGCACAGGGAATTTTTTGACCCCTTGAAGAAGATGTATGGACCGAGATTGGAGCTGCTGAGGACGCTGTTCGACGGCAGTTCAGGCGCTACCTGCACACAGACTGCAGATCTGGAGCAATCATTTAAACTGTCTTTTCACTGGCCTAACTGAACGGCCTGAAATAGCATGAAGAAAAAGTGAGTCTAGCGGACACGCTGACGGTAGAGGAGATGCAGAGAGCACTTGCTCAGCTGCGAAACGGCAAGTGTGTAGGTCTTGAGGGATCCCGCCTGAAGTAATGAAACACAGCGGACCCGCAATGGTGAATGCGCTGCACCACTTGGTGTAACGCGTGTAGATTGAGGAAGTGGTGCCTCCTGAGCTGAAGGGTGCCCTTGTGTTACCACTGTACAAGGGCAAAGGGAGAAAGCAATGTTGCAAGAATTATCGTAGCATCAACTAGCTGAGTTGCGTGGGCAAGGTGATTGCCCGAGTCATACACAACCATCTCTTCGTTGAATCGAACGTGGCGGAAGGGCAATGTGGATTCAGTTCGGATCGCAGCCCCATCGATTTGGTGTTTGCAGTTCGGAAATTGCAGGAGAAGGGTAGAGATTGGCACCAGAGGTTGTACTCGCTGTTTGTTGATTTCAACCAAGCATTTGATATGGTGAATCGCGAGGCACTGTGGCTGGGGTTGGGTAAGTTTGGTTGTCCGAATAAGTTTGTAAGTTTAATCAAATGTCTGCACAGTGATATGCCAACGTAGGTACAGCTGAAGGAACAGACCTCGGATGACTTTGCAGTTGTCTCTGGTGTGAAACAAGGCTGTGTCTTAGCTCCTGCCTTATTTAATATCTTCATGCCATAATGTCATGTGCGTTTGATGCTGCTTGTGCTTACAGTGTTCGTGTGGAGCACCGTATTGATGGTGGGTTGTTGAACATCCGTCGTTTCGGTACAAGAACTCTAGTCCGTGGGACAGCAATCCATATGTTGCTGTTTGCTGACGGCTTGCGTTGTTTGCACACAGCGCGGATAAGTCGTAGCACATCACTGGTGTTCTGGCTTCGAGACCGGCCAAATTCGAGCTCGTCATCAACACAAGCAAAAGCTGTCTCTTTCGGCCTTCATCGGACGTTTAATCTGCAAATCAGTATTGGTAATGAAGTATTGGAAGCCACTTCCCGCTTCTGCTACCTTGGGGGTATGGTTTCGACTTACCAACAAATATACAATGAGCTTCGTATCCGCGCCTCGAAAACAGCGGCGGCATTCGAGAAGTTTGAGTACCGAGTGTGGAGCTCCGAGGTTCAACTGGTCAATCATGGCCAGAGCATCGGTTCTATCGCTCTGATAATGCTGTGCTTAATGCACAGATGTGATCGATGAGAATGTCCTAAGTCAAGTCAAGAATGTGCTTTATGCACCCACGAAGGGTGAATATCCCGCTGCAACACACACGCACTTGACGTGGATAACTAGTGAAAAGGATGATCCAAAAGCATAGGAACGAAACAGCAGAGTCTAAACAAACGCTGATGGGACCAAAGCGATTGCGGTAATTTGTCCATCAGATCTTGACCGACTACATTTGGAATAGCCAGTAAACGTGATAAATAAAATACAACTGATGGAACATATGCCCGTGTACGAGCATCCATAGTTTTATATACTGTCTGATCGATGGGCTTGATAACATTCCGATAATGGAGTGTGGAGGAAGTGATATCAGTACTTAGAGTTCTAGACAAAAATACTTTTCAGCAATTGCCATCGTTGCACACAATAATGTCAACAGGTGCGACTACATCGTGGTATGCGTTTCATAGAAATAGCAATCGCTCATAGGTGAGCAGCAAGTTTAATAGCGTAACAAGCAAGCATGATAAAAACCTGTTCAAACAACTTTATACGGAAGAGGCCCTGAGACAGCTAACGTTTAATGAGTCTACTGAGTTCAGTAAATATTTCTTTTGTGAGAAAGAACTGGAAAGACCACTTTTCAGGGTCAATCCCAGATGTGTTATTGACGTGGAAGACAGCGCACCTTCATCATCGAGGCAAAGTTGTGAGTACTGCATGAGGAAATGCTGGTACAGATTTCTTATGTAGCAAAAAAGGAAATGTTTACAGTTTGAAGTATTCGATGAAAGGCAATAGAATTTGGACCAAGCTGTGAGGTAGTAAAAGGGGATTTGTTAACTGGACGATGGCTTTATGTTTCGCGGATGGGCATACAGCATTACGTCATTCTTATAATTCCGCAAGACGGTTTCTTCAGGGACAGGAATTGAGGTCACAAAATGAAAAATAAAAATGAGGACATAAGTGCTCCTTGAAGATCAAGGGAATTCATGTTGAGTGATGAAAGAAATGTTCAAAAAAACCTGGCAAAGTGGATGTATTTAGTAAAAGTAGCAAAAACTACGGAGGTTTTAATGAGGAAAAGTGAAAGTCATACAATAGCGGAACACGGTTAATGTAAGCAAAAGCGTCACTATAGTCAAGGAAACAGATGACGGTGGAGTTGTTTTTAATATTCATTGATGAGAACATGGAATATACTAAGCAATCTATCGCATCTACGTTGGACATGCGAATTGATCCGGGTCATCCAAACGCGATTGAGCTAACAGCCTAGTAAGAATAATTCTCTGAAAAATCTTCAAAGCAATCGACGTGCAAGCAATTAGCAGTTGTTTACAGGCCCTTTTCTTCTGAAAAGGCTTTCGCATGGCAACCTTGTATTGCTTTAAGCACAATAGGTACAATTCATCGAAAGGTTGTGCCTGATAATCAGCACACACCTTTAGTTCGATTTGTTCGACTTCAGGTTGATTAATTATTCTATTCTATTCTATTCTAATTATTCTAATTATTCCTATGCTATTCACAGAAGGTGCGTTGCCTGAGTACAGGTGTAACTTACCAGACGATGCATCGGAGACCGAATTACCGTCCTGGTAAAAGAAATGGACGTTAAATTCTTCCACGTCCAGAGTAGAATGTGTGGCCTCGTAGTTAATAGTTCCCAATATGGTCTCAACGTATATGGTTGAGGCGAAGCAACTCGATCAATAGAATTCACCTGCAGCAACGTCTTGACCAATGAATAGCAAGAGAATTAGTGATTTCGGTGATATGGGTTGCAGTTTCTCTAAAACCAACAAAGCCATTCCGACTAACTCAACCAAGTTAAGGAAGCTGCCACCTCAAAACATACTCATAGCGTCCAACACTCCAATGTTCTAGCAGAAGTGCAGAAAAGTTTTACTGAACACTTAAATTAGCTACAGGGCTGAGACTATGAAGTGGATCTGGACCATCCCGCACAGTGCAGTAGTTGGGATGAAAACGGGAACATCCTACGAAACAACATGTCCCTAATTAGTGAATACCATAACACGAGAAACGCTGTGTATTGCCTGTTCGACCAAAAATAGACAATATGGTCGAGCACAGTAAGATGGCAAGGCAATAAAAAATAAAATAAAATGATTATATCAGCTACACACTCATTGAGATGAACGAATTCGACGTGTTTTCTTAAAGTGTCCTTCTCAGCAAACGATTTGTCACAGACCTCACATGCATGGGGGCACTCATCTAGATAATGAAGAAGTTTCTAGTTGCAGATGAACCATACAGGGTAAAGGTTCGCAGAATAGTCGATTATCTGCTAGAATACATGCATACCGGATGTGTCGCATCAAGGCCTTTATGGTAACCATGCGAAGAAAGTAAATCGACTATGCGAAAATCGCGCAACAAGTGACACCGAACCAGTAGACTGAGTGGCGTCCACATTTAGCAATAGCAACACATGAGGTGTTGAACATGCAGGTGCATCCCGGTGCAACCAGATTGACAGAAATCGCGCCGGAACGACGCAAACATTTAGCTGAAGTCGTAGACCGATAACTACACATAGTGTGACCGTCCTGTTCGGTCATCGTCCGGCGGGCTGACTTGCACCCTGTCGGGTAGGGGCGTACAGTCGGACAGTAGTCTAAGAGTGGATAAGAGAATTTGATATCGATTTCCTTGTCAAGTGCTGCAGCAGGTGGACAAATTCGGCAAGTTCCAATACAAAATCCGGTAGGTGAAATAATGGAAAACGGTTCCAAGCGTCCGCAATCACGTTACTCTTTCCATTAACGTAACTGTAAGCCGAGAAATGACATATAGTTGATACTTTTGAATTCACCAATCAAGGTTAGTTGGGGTTTATAAAAAATATTTTAAAACTTGTTCCCTAAGATAGCAGTGAGATTTCTCGTCATGTTAGTGCAGGTTTTCCTGGTCCGGTCAAAGACTCCGAACAGCTTTTCCAGCAGAGAACATTTTGGCGACTAGAGAGATAATCTCCATCTTTTGCGTACATTTTAATGAAGTTGGGTAATGATAGATTTATCCCTGTTCTACTAATCCCCACTGAGCGCTCACATTTGGCTCCTTCCATTCCACTTATATGCTCCAAAGGTCCTTCCATTCCACTTATATACTCCAAAGGGTCGGTGCATTAAGGTCTGGTTCTGCCAAATGCATCCATACGTATTCCACTGTTGGACTCACGAATTTAGCCTGCCAAGTTCCACAATACAAGTGGGAGCTAAAGCCTGATCAGACCCTAGGAACACGAGCATGCCTAGCTGTGAGCACCAACTGGGAAGGTAGAAAGTCGCACCGTGGAACTCTACACCCCTGACTGCAGTTTTTCTGCCTTAGAGCCTTCAACTCTGTGCAGTGGAACACCATAAATCGAACAATTAGTCAAGTAAGAAAGAACATGTATAAGCACGTATGTGTGTACAAACTGTTAACTGATACCTTGGTCAGGAACGTGAAGTGGATCCGATACCCCAATTGTGGGTTTACAACGTTCGTCCGAAGAACTCACAGGAGTGCATTGCTCAGCTTTAAATGACTGATCGGAAGAACATTGAGCGTTCGAATCCAGTTGGTCATTCTCGTGAGAATCCGGGAAGGCATCAGTCCCTTCCCTGATTGGAGATGCCGCCGTCGTGTATGCATCCGTGGGCTCTGGCTTTGGTCTCAGAATGCAGAGACTCAAAGGTTGCCTCATCTGCACGGCGTCATTCTGACAAAAAAGCAGAGCACATTTGTAACCAAGTATCCAAAATCAGCCCTAGTTGTCACCCGACGTATGAGACTACAAGCTCCCGCACAACTCAAACGGATGCCCTGATGTTGTCAACAAAAATGACAAAAGCACAAGTACTCTCCAACTACTGGTTGCAGTCACACAATCAGCGCAATCAACAAAGGTGAATATGCTAATGAAGGGAAATACAGATAAGAGGGAGGCAGATAACTAAGCATTCAGGAACAAAGTATTTGCACTCTGTCAACACCGTTCGGTCACAGAGAGGTCGCCATTGTATGAAGAAACGGCGGTAGCAAAGACACCGCTTTCTTGCGACCCTTGGTGCATAGAGTCACGATTAAACCAATTCCACACCCACATCCGTAAGCAAAAGCAACGGATACATTTCTGATGGAAGTAAATGAGGCCGCTTCGCGGGAGAACAAATAAATGTTACTTAAATTATAATTACCTCAGACCAAAATATGCAGTTCGAAAATTCGAAATCTAAATTAGTACACTGAAAGTAATCACTTTCTGATCGATGTAGAGTGCAGGTATTGTTAAAACGCTAACGCTAGCAACTTCGAACGGTCTGCCTCCGTCCCTTATGGCACAGTGGCATAAGCTGCTAGCGGCCATGGGTTCGATCCCCATCAGGGGACCGGAGGAATGCGCACCACTGACGAGCGCCAACAGGGCAAAAGGACCGTCTGATGCTCTTCCGGATTGGCATCAGACAAACCTAGCTCGTGAGCAGCTGGGATGAAACAACAAAATGTCGTAAAACGCTAGCGAAATTATCCGCGTGCCTTAACTGGAGACCCACAAAAGACGATAAGAACTCATATGTAATGAGAGGCGTATAAAATGATCAACTCCATTTTACATCCCGAAAGTACATACAAGAACTTTTTGAGCATCCTAAGGGAAAGTTCTAACAAAAATATAAATTTAGCTCAACACGCAAGCAGGAAAACTATTGCTAATCAACATCCTCAATACGCGGATGAGATGAATTCAGGCTGAATGAGTTCAAGTTTTAATCAATTAGTGGACTGGAATCAAGACCCTACTAACGCACCGTCATGTAGCGCGAAGGGGCACAGCGTCGCAATAGTATGAAGGGGCGAAACATATCTCCATCTCGGAGAATAGACACCAGCGGTGTTCCATTACTAAAGCTCATATGACGACAGATACGACGACGATGATGTCAGCCATATACCAGTAATGTTCAATGATGTTTCATGGCCTTGTAAACGCGAACGGCGGTATGCAGGCCGGGATGCTGCCAGGGCGTCTGAATCCAAGCAGCAGCTGGGTCTCAAGATATGAGACGTCGAGGTTAGGAGCAATACGATTAGGCTGTTGCATCAAGAACCTCAGAGGATTCGCTGAGCGGTGAGAATACAACCAATCAAAAATAAACAAAAACAGCGTTACATCAGCCATTGAAATTGATACTTCGCTGCCGCACAATCACAATCACCTAGGAAATTAAGAACAATGGAAGGGGAAGGACGGGGACCTAGCGTGAAACGTAAATGCCTCAAGAAAACATGCAGGGTCAAAGCGCCTACACTTTGACAACAACACACGGCCACAAACAGTTGGCTATCGGCGAGACAGCTTCGCTGTAATTCCCACCGCTCTGTGTAATATCCAGCCATTGCATCACGAAAGACTAAGTCCCAGGAACACATTGAACATGCAATCTGACAGGATGACAACAAACGCGCCAATGTTGCCGACTGCGAGCCGTCTTGGAAAGTCTCGAGCCAAGCAAAAGGTAGGTTCTGTTGACTCCAACAGGGAAGAGAGACAGACCAACAGCACCCAGCTTCATCGGTTGTGGTTTCATTTAAAGCTTCCAAGTCAACATGTACTCACCTTGACTCTCCCGTCAACCAACCTCCAGGAAGCAAAAAAACTCCTCTCGGTAAGCAGTGACCACGAATGCAAAACACATAACCAGCTAACCTGGTTTTCTCCGCCAGATACTGTGATATGCACATCATCGATCCGGACACGCTGGCGCCATCCGACACCAGCAACGCTTCACAGCTCAACTCTACTTCCGCAGGTGCTTCACTCGGCCACCCGACAGAGTGGTCAGTTCTACTCCAGAATGGCTTAAGTCGATTGAAATGTACTATCATGGGTTGACTGGCAGGGATGTTAGGATCTTTGATAACACCTGTCACATCCGATATCATTTGCTGTATTATGTAAGGCCCTGTCCACTCATGGTGTAACTTGCCCGGGACTCCTGCGGTTGGTACCTGATGGAAGTAAAGCTGGTCGCCAGCCTTCAAAGGAGTACCGAAAACTTTCTTGTCGTAATAATTTTTCTGTCGCCGGTGGACGTTCCCAAGATGAACGTGTGCCGCCTGATGTGTTTGATAAAGTGAATCAAGGCGTCTGCTAACATACTCTGTCATCGATGAGTGTGGCTGTTGCGAAACGGGTAGTCGGACTTCTCTCCCGGTCCACAAAAAATGGTGTTTGAACAGTAGGGGAGTGAACTGTGCTCCGATATGTCAGCAAGCACTTTGGCAACATAAAGTCCCACTCAGTTACATTTTGATCCACGAAAGCCTTCAGTAGCGAATTCAGCGACCGAGTTGTACGCTCGATTTGTCCGTTGTCTTAGAGGTGGTAAGCCGTCGATCGCGTCTTGTCTATACCGAACACACGACAAAGTTCATGCACCAAAAATTTTCAAAACATCAGCCCCTATCAGAGTGTAGCAGCCCGCGTGCTTCCCAGTGACACACACAGCGATTCACCATCGCCGTTGCCACTGTGACTGTATGAGCTTGTGCGAGCGGTTGTCTGAGACAGCGGTGGGCTGAGGGTACATTTGTAGCGTCCCGGAGCGGAGAACCATGGACAGAAGAATGATGGTGGACAGAGATGGCATTCCGAGGCCAAAATTTTCGATAGCGCAGTGAAAGTGGGAAACCTATAAATCCCTGGTCAGCCAAAGCCATTGGCGTACATGGGAGCAAAGTAACTTGCCCATATCCTTAAAGGCATAGCGATGTACTATAACCACAGACAGGCTGTGAATGGGACGTGGCAGTAAGAAGTTGGGATAGATACATACACTGTTCATACATTCATTATACACGCCAGTTAGAGGTGGGAAACGCCTCAGCTACTGTGACGCAATAATAAAAGAAAAAAGGGAACAAAATGCAACAGGTGCAAGCCAGCTGTGCTACCGGTAACGGATGGGCATCGTTCCGGTAAGCCACCTGCCGGCTATTATGCAACAGAAAAAATAAGGTACTACGCAAAATTATAAAATGCTAAATAGTGAGATCATAATTGGAGGGGGAGACTAAACGGGATGGGGTGAGACAAAGAAACTCACAGCACGAACGCCACTGAGGTCGGCTCCTAGCCATATCAACAAGTGTACCTAGCCAAACGTGTTCATCATCTTTCGGACCCAAGCAGGAAGCCGAGACCATCCAACTGAGGTCAGCTTCGAAGTGAGGGCCTTCATTCCTCAAGACCGTTATTGCTAAGCCACCCCACCTCCTCTTCCATCCACATCCCGGCGCGCAAACGACGCACGTCGCGGGAGTCGGTGGGCTGGCATGTGTAATACGAGGCCGAGCCATCGGAGCTTTGTGCGTGAAATAACAGTGCTGAGCGGCTTATTTCTTATTCCTGTGCCTGAGCGTCGAACACGCTGGTTGCTTACTCGATGTTCACGCCAGATGTGAGCTAAATTGCGAAGGCACCGGCGGTCAAACGTGACTAACCTCTTTATGTCCGCTGATCTAAGGGGCCAGCTTTCACAACCGCACAGTAGGGTCGAACGTACCGCTGCATTATACACTACCCTTCAGGGCGAGAGTGATGTCGCGCCGGCGCCATAAGTGGCGAAAGTTAGCAAAAGCGTTTCGAGCTTTTGCTATCCCGTTCGTGATCTCATCTACAAATTCCTAGGTATTTGAATTTTTGTACGACTTCTATCTGATCCCCACCAAGGGTCAGCGCAGGAGGCGGTCTCTGCCAATCTTGGAGGAACGCTTTAAACTTCGAAGGTGCGAAGCAAAGCCCCAAGTGGCGGACAGCCAGTGCTAATCTGTCCAGTGCCGCTTGGCACGTCTGGAAGCTTTCACAGATTAGGGCATTAGCGTCAGCATACTTTAGTCAAGAAGTCGTTCTCCTGGGAGCAGATCCACACCTCTAAGTCGTGTCCCGTAAACGCGATTTCCATGACTTCATCAATATCGAAGTTTAAGAGGAAGGTGACAGCGAGCATCCTTGTCTCACATCGCTGGAGATTTTAAAGAGCGACGACAGCTTGCCGTAAGCCCTAACTGTCTGAGCTACGCGCGTATAATGATCGCATAATATTTACATTTTTCTCATGGTCCATCTTTCCTGAGTAGACAGTCACAAAGTGCACGTATATCCATCGAAACAAAGGCACCTTTGATATGAAGGAACACGACAACGGTGGGCCGCCAATATATGTGACGGTGCTCCAACAACTGACGCAAAGTGAAGATGTGGTCAATGCAGCCACGACCTCGACGAAACCCGACTTGCTCTTCACGAATATGGCTTTCACAAGTGGCAGCCAGTCTGTGAAGGATGACAGAGGCAAGCAATTTGGAGGCGATGGGAATCAGACTGATTCCTCTATGGTTGCCGCATTCCGATAGTGAGCCTCCCTTGAAAATTGGGACCATGACGGAGCGGCTCCAGTCGGTTAGGACAGTCTCCTGCTACCACAGTTTCACAAGTAACTCGTAGAAATCATCCAAAAGAGCAGGGTCCCCGAATTTGAAGAGGGCTAGAGGAAGATCATCCGGTCCCGCGGCTTTATTTAGTATCAACAGTACGATCTCACGTTCGACTTCTAAACGAGGGTGGATCCAAATTGACAGCCCAAGGAGCAGGGCGATCAGTGGCCGGCGAGAAATATAACAATTCCGACCGATTAAATTGCTTTTTAAAGTGCTCAGCTCCAAGCGTTTTGGCAAGTCGTGGATAGCCTGTCCACTCTCGTCACAAATTGTTTCACTAACACCAGGTCTCCTGCTGCCCGTTTCCCGTAGCAGCCGGAAGAACGTGCGATGGTTACCAAGGGCAGCGGCCATTTCCACCTCTGAAGCATGAAGAGACCAACAGAATTCGCGGCCTCCCTTCAGGCTAGCACGGAGGTTTGCCTGGAGGCCTTTGTGAGTTATATTGTGTTCGCTTCCAGCCGGAATATGCCGGCGAGCATCGATAAGTTCCAGAGACTGCGAAGAAACCCAATGTCTATGTTGGCTATTAGACTTACCACATGAGGAGTTTCCCGCTGCTAGTTAGGTCTAGTGAATATGAGACCAGTGAGCTTCAATTGCATCCAGTGAGCGTTTATTCAACCCGCATGACAGCAAACTTCGATAGTCATTTAGAACAGCGGGTTTCGCCATTTAACTGGTGTTAATGCGCTCACGTCGGCGTCGGCGTCCGCCGAAGCGCATCCGCTGGTAAGCAAATGCAAGTGCACGGTCGGTGTCTACACATGTGCTCCAAATCGAGCTACAGTTCCGGACGCAGCCTCTCCATCGGTAAGTTATCGCAACGTGATCGATTTGCGTCCATGGCTGGTTTGAGGCTGGTGGGCGCCAAGTCATCCTCCGGCGGGTGCTGAGGCGCCTTCAAGTCTTTGATCATCATTGTCTGCGAAGCATTGCTGGTGTCGGATGGCACCAGCGTGTCCGCAACGATGATGTGCGTAGGCGAGTACTAGGTAATGATATACATGCTAGATTCCTAGAACAACAGATAGCACTGCATAAGTTGCGTTGGTTCGGGCACGTGCTACGTATGCCTCGTCACCGCTTACAGAGGAGGACCTTGTTTAGTCTGCCAGGTGTAGGATGGCGCAAGGCTCGAGGTGGACAGAAGTTGACTTGGCAGCGGGAAATGAAGTTACTGACGACCAAACTGGGTGCCGTTGGTTCGTCTCGTCTTCCGGGCTGGAGTCCACGTGACTCACCTTGTGCTTGACTTGAGACTTTACAGGATATGGCTCGCAACCGACACCAGTGGCGCGTCTGCTGCCGTCTTCTAATCGGATTGCCTGTTCAAAGTGTGTTCGATGCTGAGTTATCTGCGGGGTAATGACTGATTATGACGCTTGGCAGTGAAAGCCGCAAAGAAGCTGTCGCGCCGATGCCGCCTTATCTTTGCACGATATCCAGTTGTTTGCGACGGTATGTTGTCTACACACGTTGTAGGCGTCTTGGTCCTGAATGTTTGTTTAGGGCATTAAGGTTTTCAGGTAAGTCCCCCTTCTCTCCCTCTTATTATTCTTTATTTCATGGGTCCTCATGGTTGTATGTCAGCGAAGCATCAGTTCAAACGGCTGATGTACTGCTGTTGTTGATGATGTTGATGTTGGGTGCTGTGTCGGAAAGTAGTGCTCGCAATAAATAAGCGAGCATCTTCACACAAATGAAATAAGCGCTCAGCGTTATCATTACGGGAGCCTACACCATGTTGGCTGCCCAGATGCAATTCATCAGTGGATAATTTAACAACTTGAGCGTTCAGATCCCCCGCCAGCACAACAGCGTCCGTGCTTCTTCTGTGGCGAAGGTCGTTCAGTTGAGGATAGAAGTCGTCTTTCAGTGAGTCATCGCCACAGTTTGTGGGTGCATAGGCAGCGATAACGAATAGACACCTGTTAGTCCCGCGCGACTTCGAAGCTTTTGAAGGATCCAGTCAATCGGACCGCACACAACCGGCTACTGATTGGAATCCAATCAACCAGAGTAGCTTCAGCCCGGGACACACGGCAATGCCAACACCGGCTTGGCCGGTGCTCGAAGCTGCATCGTCACGGGAAAGGCGCAAAGAGAAAGTGCTCCTAGTGACACCTGAAGGGGATCGAAGAAAGAGCACAGAGCTCGAGTCTTGCAGGCAGATCTCCGATAAGCAGCAGATATCGATCGATAGGGTCTCTTATGTTCGGGCAAGTGCTGCTTGTGGACCGATCTGAAACAGTGTGCGAACATTGAGGCATGCCAATCTGAAGGAGGATCGAGGGCTCCAAATGGAAGCCGATGAACAGGATTTGGCCGCTTGCTTGGACTTGGACTTGTCGACAGGGCAGGAATGACGCTACACGTTCACATGTGAATTTAAACTAAAAGGTAAAAGCCTATCAAAGCAAGGTGAGGAAGGGCCAAAAATTTGGGGGTTGAAAACAGGGTGGATAAAAGTGAAGCTGGAACGGGACGGTAACAGTGAAAAAGCGTAAGAGGGGGAATAAGAAGATGGGCAAACTTGAGCAGTAGCATCCAAACCCATATCCACCCTGCTCGATGCAGCACATACGGCACCGCTGATTATCCTCTGCGGTGGCCAGAGAATCAAGAAATTGTTTGAGGAAAGATTCATAGTATTGCGTGGGCAGGATACTGTCAAATTGTCCAGGCCTAGACAGGAGAACGATTAGGGTTCTCAACCAAAGCCTTTGGTTCAAAACCCTGACCGCAAGGCAGCGGGTTTGGTGTTGGGCTACAACAGTCCGCTTTAAGGAATAAGGAGCCACCTCATTCCAACCCGCAACCTGGAGGACCAGGAGGCTGAGTGTGTCTCGCCTCTAACCATTGACCAATCTGGTATGAGTGACTCTGAAGGTGCAAAAGCACCACCCAGCATAGCTCAGTGGATCGCTGAGGCACACAAACCATCGCACCAGGGTAAGGTCCAGCCTCATTGCGATGGAGTTCATCAAGCAAATCAACTCGACCTGTGTCAGCTGTACGCCGTAATGGCGCTTCGCTGCCACGCGATCACCACCAGTCGCGCGCGGGCTATACCGCGAGGACGCCCACCCATACGAACAGGTGACGTACAAACGGGACGCGACAAGCAAACACCAGATGAAGTGGGCCAAGATACCGTCAGTGCATCATTTACTAGTGCGATGGCCTATGGCCCACCAGGGTCAGGCTCTATAAGCCGGAGACAATAAGGGAACAGTCGAGATAAAAAGAATCAGCAGGTAACTTGGTCGAACAGTAACAGCGTCAAGTAAGGTCAGACAGCATGACATCAAAGTTGATCACAGTGAGTAAGGCTACGCGATTAAAACTCCAGCACCGCGTGTATTAGAATAGTTCGCTTAATCTAACAGAATGGCATTCCATTAACCGGAGAAAAACGATAAAAATCAGGTATTCCAGACTCATTAATTGGATGAGTTAAGCTTAAATCTCCCTATCATAGCTGTATTCGCTTTAGGTTATACAAACCTAAGCCTACCGTTTGATTATAGTCACACCACAAACCCAGTCCCGACAAACATCATACTAACATGCTCTAACGCGTGTGACCATGCAAATACACTACGCATAATAATATAGCAGTGACTATATGTAATCGAGACTATTCAAAACACCATAAAACTAGGCATGTGCGATTAAAGCGGACCACACAAGAGAGGGGATTACGCCGAGGTAAACGTACCTGAACTCCGTGGTTTAATGGTTCTAATACTTCAAAATCCCGCTTTAGCATGTTTCCATATGTAGTATGCGTCCCAGCCGGGATTTCGAGTTATCTCGTCTTTAATGTGTGAAAGGAGTGGTATCGGTTATCGTTAAAGAGGTCGTAATATATTTGGGGAGCTGCAAATTGCGACAAATAATTCGCAGGCCGTTGGATGAAGTCAGCACAACCAATGGAGGAGAGGTGCGCCTAGCTAATACCTCGTAGTGAACTGGATGCCGTTTTTAGAGGTGCCGCGAGAATCGAGTCTGAGCTGAATGGATGGTGAGAGCAAACACGGGTGATAGCTGTAAGCAAAACGGGAAAGTATATGGAAAATGAAACAACAATGACATCTAATCGAGGTTCAACGGTCTTCTTACCTTAAGAACAGCTACGACATCACACTCGCACCTGCCACAATACTTGCCCCTGTTGAAAGGCACTGTCCACAGTCCCTACGGAATCCATAGTCGGTCTCGAACTGCATGAAAATTGATGAAAGCGGTATGCAAGGCTCAGATTCCACGACAAGTAGTACAGTCATAAAAAAGCAGTGATCGCCTCAAAGGGCAAAGATCCAGCTTCGCAGTCTGCTGTCGAGAATTGATCAGGTCATCAAATATGTAATGTGTCCGCTTCGGGATTCTGTGTTATTCCGTGCTCAATGTATAAGGCATCAGTAGCACGGCGGTACGCAGTACCGACGCTTCGCTGCCAAGCAACCATCACTAGTTGCGCGTGGACTAAGAATATTGCCAGGGTCGCCTGGTCCCCAACGCAGGCTCGAGACCGCGAACCTCCTGGTTTTAAGGTCAATAGGACTAATAAGTACCAGTTTAGACGAAGGTACATAATCGAATACCAACGTCAGAAATAAGAAAAAAAGCCACTAGAATTATGCTGATTCACAGTATCGATGCTTCGATGCTGCACGCAGGCTGAAAATACCGCGAGGTCGACCGCAACTCCGGTTTACAAGGCAGCCGCCTAATCCTTTCGGCCACCGGCCGACCAATATCACAAGGCCAATGAAGCTGAACATGGCAATTATGTTCCAGGTGGCTAAAAGAAGCCGTGTGCGAATGGAGAGAACTGCAGCGAGTGTCAGCACAGTAACACACCGAGCAAACGAGTGCGAGGAGATACAGACGGAAGGCATGAACATAAACATAGATAGAGGTAAAGCAACCATTTGAACTGATGCGTCGTTGCCATATAACCACAATGACATATGGTACGAAGAATAATAGGTGGAAGAGAAGGAGGAGTTTGGGTAAACATTCAGGGTCAATGCACTTACGCCTTGTCAACAACGTACCGTGATAAACAGTTCGCTATCGTCAAGAAGTAATAATGCACATTCGATCAGTAACAAAAGTGTACGTAGATAAGAAATATCTTATGAGGTGTCACGTCCCTGTTGCTGCAAGACAGCTCAAATCGCCACGTCGGAGGGGTCGGTACTGAGCGATAATGGGGCTGCCGGGTCGTGGTGCGCCATGGAAGCTGCGTTGGCCATAGCATCTTTTAAAGATTGGAAAGCAGTGTGTGCCTTATCAAGAAAAACGAACTTTTTGTGATTCCCTAGGAAGTCCGTAGGTGCTACATAAACGACGCACAGTTAGGTATGAAGCGTCGGTAAAAGTTAACAAGTAGGTCAATACACCTGAGCTGTTTGGTCGAATGTGGCTCAGGGTAGTTGATGGTTTCAAACTTATCATGCAGTGGCACACAGAAGGATATGATGGTCAAAAAGTTGATTGAATGGACACCAAGCAAACACCTGCGTCGATCGTCACCCTGTGTAGGGATAAGCGGCCAAAGCGTCGTCGCGTGCAGCAAGTGTTCTTCGCGTGGGGAGCTCACAATCAGGTAGTCGATGAGCATAGACCAAATCTAGGCCAAGACAAACTTGTTCGATGAGGTGTTGAAAAGTTTGTGTTGCATCGAATTGTCCGGATTGCCCTAAAAGTCACCACGCCTTCAAAGACCGTACAGTGTAGAACGTGCGATGGTTGGCCGCATACTGCTTGCTGAAGTATCGAAGTCTCGCTTGATTTCCACATTTGTGATACGTGCCAAGCAGTTGGGAACGATACGGGCGTCAAAATTCGTGCAACTCCGCTCACCCCAGTGGCCCATGTGGAGGAACCAAAGCCAGACCGCCTCCCGATACTTATTGCGTCCAGCGCGGCGAGTGTGGACACTAGTCGTAGTAGAGACTCCTCCACCTCATCGTCAGAGACAGTAATATCTACTGAACGCAACATTCAGCCTATTAGGATATCGAAGCAAACGAGACTACGAGCGACCATCGCCGTTGGATTCAGAATATGAATCAGAGCTTCAGTGCAGCTCTGCGTAAGGTCACTAGTTGAGTTCAGCTCAAGATGTGAACGCTGTTGGGGGGGTTCATTGATTGTATCAATCAATGAACTCAATGGTACGGATAATTAGGTCTACTGTTTAGTAGGTTTGCTTCATTCTATATGACTCCGCACTGCCTCAGAAGAAAATCTAAGCTGACGTCGTGCGTCAAACTGCGGTGCCAGGCGCAACTAGTTTGGATACGGCTGAGCGTAGTGATAAAGTAGTGATGGCCCCAAAGCCTAACATACACATGGATACCTCAAGCAACCAAACGAAACTGGTTCTGGATAGAATTAATCAGCTGAAAAATTTTTCAAGAGAAGCAGATCCCGCGAACGGTGTCTGATTATCGCTAATGCGCTTGAATCTAACCAGTAAACACCACCAGAGAGAATACTGGACGACCAGGTATTTTAAAAACGCATGGTTTCTCAAATGTTTGAAGAGGAAGAACCTGGGATCAAGATCGTTTCCGCATTTCACATCAGCAAAAAGCAGGATGACTTTTCTAAGGCCCGTCCCTTAAATTATTGTGTCGAGGCCAAATGCCGCCGCATTCTTAAACAGACCTGCCCGGAAGACCGTGTTAAAATGAAGATGGAAGCCAATGAGGTCAGAACTCGATGAGTAAACAGTGAAACATAACTGACATCGTAGACTCTCGCGTTTCGCAGTGAATTCCGAGAGCTCGATGGAAGCCCCATTCGTAGTCTGCCCGGATCGCGAGATCATGAGACCAGCACATGGATTGCGAATGATGTACACCAATGTTCGCAGTACAAGGGACAAATGGTACGAGATTCTTAATTTTACCCCAGAGTTCCGTCCAGACTTCGCTTTCTCGGAGTCCTCGTTATTCACGGATACAGGTGAAGCGAAGTCCATAACTCAGGATATCAGTTTTCTTGGGTTGATCATCATGGAACAAAAACCGGGGGCGGCAATATCATTTGCTGGAAATCAGACCTCTAAGTACACATCATCGAGGCCGTCAGTAAACGCCACTCAGAAATGCTATGAAGTCAGGTCCAAGACGGATGCAAACCCTTCACTATCGGTGTGGTGTTCAAGCTCCCGTGGAGTAACAGTGCTCGAGTACTGCAGTTCAGTTCAGTTGAACAAGTATAATCTGAGACCAAAGTGTGGCGAACCCAGTTGCCACGACTCACAATAAATAACAGCGGCGAGATAGTGGGGCTGAATGCAAATATCATGTAAAGAAGATGGAAGCAAGTAGGAAGTGTGTAGTTTTGCATCAACCAACGAATAGACAAAAAGCCATCAAAAATTATGGAAATCAGAGGAAGGTTCAGTTGCAATAAAAAGAAAACCGAACAGAACATAGAGAAATTCATCGTTTCGTCAGAGAGCAGTAGTATTGACATAGGGGACAAGATCACGAGCCTTTGACTAAATAGCCTGGACGCAAGGCAGCCGAGCGGATTCAGGGGAATCGCGCCCATACGAAGTTCTTGACAATCGCGACGAGACTGGACCTTAACGTGGTACGATGGTTTATGTGCCTCGATGATTTATTGAGCTGTGCTGGATGGCGCCTTTTGCACCTTCAGAGCCACTCATACCGGGTTGGTCAATGGTTAGAGGTCAGACAAACTTAGTCGCCTGGTCCTCCAGGTTGGGGATTGAAGTGAGGGTGGCTCCGTACTCCAGAAAACGGGCTCTCTGTAGTCCAGTTCCAAAACCCTGCTGCCTTGCGGTCAGGCACTTTTTGAACCAAAGGCCTTAGTTAAGAACCGCATTCGTTCTCCTCTGTAGGCCTGGACACTGACAGTATCCTGCCCACGCAAGACAACACAATGATTTTCTATTTAAACAATCTGTTGATGCTTTAGCTGTCGCAGAGAATAATAGACGGCACTCTCTCCTGAATGGAGTAGGGTGTACGGGAGTTTGGATATATATATATATATATATATATATATATATATATATATATATATATATATATATATATATATATATATATATATATATATATGGTGCGCTGAGGCTGGTGGTGGCTAGATCCTGACAGATGGTCTACCCACTGCTGCTACTGTTGCGCCATATTCTCATGTCCTGGGCGCCTCATCGTGGCGACCGCTGGGTGGGAGTTGGGTTTCGCCCTTCTCCCTGCTAAGATCCAGGACACCAATCCGCATGAGTCAGCTAACTGACCATGTGCTAGACCCGCTGCCTTCCGGGTGTTCATTTAATCGAAGGCTTTGGCTGAGGACCCGAGTCGTTCTCCTGTCAGGATTGGACGCCCTGGCAGTATCCTAGTCCATCCTCTCCGGAGGTTAGGAAGTGGTCGATGGCCCTCTTCCCGTAAAACCTAGCCATGGGAGACAACAGGTTTACGGGTTATAATCTCACAGCTCGATTGGCGTAGAGCACGAGGGCCACGCATTGTCTCTGACGGTGGGAGGACACCGGGTGTTCAATGGTTTGCTACTGCCCGCCTCAAGCCAGGCAGCCCCTAGTCAAATTGGTGCAAACCCGCCAAAAACCCACCTGCGTCTGGCCGTGGTCGCAGGTGCGTATCCAATTACGGTCGCAAAACATATGATAATTGTTCCAGAACCTCAAAGGCTGCGTGTGACGGCCGTCAAGCAGATCCCAATCTGTCTCTGCAATCACATTCCCGAGCTGGATCTGCTCTCCACTGCCTTGTGGGTCAGGCTATTGAGCCAAAGGCTCCGGGTGGAGTCCTTCAAGCAAACCTCCAAATCACCCACTGCCTTGTGGGTCAGGCTATTGAGCCAAAGGCTCCGGGTGGAGTCCCTCAAGCAAACCTCAGAAGCACAACGACCACCTCGCGTGCGATTGCCCACCAATGCAATCGTATGCCTGCGCGCAAAGCACTCAACATCGGGTGCTGGAACGTGCGCACACTACTGGACCGGAACTCCAGTGAGCGCCCGGAGCGACGCACT